TTTTCATTGCGAAGGCAGGGCTTTACCTTTCAAGATGGCGCAGGGAACTGTGAATAGGACTATTGCAAATTTTTCACATCTTCATAAATTGGAAGGAGAATATTTCATTTTGRTTATTACAGGTCATAGGGAATATCTTTAATTACATTTTAACAAACAATAGCACTGGGTACTTAGATCAGGGTTCGTGCTTCACCTCCAACACAAAATCAAGGACCTTTTAAGGACTTTTCAAGGTTCAAAATTAAAATTTTCTCAGTTTTGCTTTGTAATTTTGTCTTAACAATGTTTTGGAACAACGTACACATTATTTTAAAGACTTATTTTGATTTTCACAAGGGTTTGTTAAGCTGGTTCAATAACATTGGCGTAAAATGATGGAAAATAGCACAGAACCTTGCAATTCTTGGAGCAAAGTTACAATCGAAGTAACGAATTACAAAAATTAGATTACAGATGGTGTAGCATTTTCAAGAAGTATTTCCAGGAGTGTCCAGCAGCTTTGCTATTTTCAAGGGCTTTTCAAATGCACTTAAAAATGGGTTTTGAATAGACCTCTTCGGCTTGGGGTGATGTTTTCCCATTTCAGACCCCATGTCATTCCCTTGAGAATAAGATTCTTTGTTTGAGCTTATCTATATTCATGTGTCTTCTCATGTACAACCGAGAACAAACCCTATACAAAGAAATGATACTCTAGGGAATGACATGTGGTCTGATATGGGAAAACATTACGTCAGAGCTGAAGAGGTGTATTCCGGGGCTTTTCAAGGATTTCAAGGAGTAGCACGAACCCTGTTAGATGGAGTGCATACCATATATCAGTGAAAAATATAACAAAAAATTGTACAAATTAATGCAGAGTTTGAAGGACTGCGTTCTACTTGATCAAATTTGTGGAATAGGCTTACAAGTTTTTGCACGGACACATAGTATGCACTCTAAGGAGTAGACCATAACTAAAGAAAACAATATAACCACTTTAAATAACTAAATCAATTTACAGCTGTGAAAGGATTTACAGGAAAAACAAGAATTTGTTTTGTGATCTAATGAGAGTGTTCTTTGTGATTAAAGGGATGAAGAAAAGGGACAAAATGTACTAAAGTCAAAACTGTCACCAGAGTCCTATTTGTAAGTAGTACCTTCTGGCGGTTGGCTCAGTTTCATATTTTCTTTACTACTCATGCACCTGCAATAATGAAACAACATATTTTAATGGTTAACATTGCGGCATTCGTCAAAACATTGCGGCATTCGTCAAAACACCTGGCAATTGGTCAAACTGGCCTTAGCCAAAAACAACAGTCTGCAAATTGTGTAGTTCCAAAAATTATCCTAACCCCCCTCTCGGAGGAATTGACCCTCCCTTACCCCCACAAAATCCAATTTTCTTCCATASAAACTCTGCAATTTTTTGTTCTTTCTCTGACCCCTCCCTCCCAATTCCAAATTCCTCTGTGGGGGATGGGGGGGGAGGGGTATGGATAATTATTGGAACTAATCATCACTACAGAACCATCACTGTTAAAGTGCAACACTAACACTATTTTGAGGGAATTTTAGACTAAATTAAAGAATTTTTTAGGATTTCAGCATTAAAATATTTGCAAATTTTTGGTCTTTCTCCAACTCCCCTCCACCCTTCGGAAATTYCRARTTCCTCTGTGGGGTGGGTATGGATAATTTCTGGAACTATGCATTGATAAAATGCAGTCCACCTTCCCTTACTACCTCTTCACCTTGCATTGTTGTAACCTTTTCGCATTTCAGAATAKGTGTCATTCCCTAGGGTATCATTTCTTTGTTTAACGGTTGCACATGAGAAGACACATGAATATGGATACGACTTMAACAAAKAATTTTATTCAAGAGATCAATGACAACATCTGAGAAGCATTATGGTAGTGGGACTCCCACTCCCTATTAGATTTGAAGATGCAAAGGTTTGACATCTGAACTGAACCTAAGTTATTGAACATGGATAAGTACACTTACCGCCTTATWTCATTTAGGACAGTTTCAATAGTATATTGTCTTTCCCATTTGCTTAATGTTGAAAAATATCTGGTATCAAGCTGAGGAAACAAAGAGAAGTTGTTTTATTTATGTTTGCTTCAGAACAATTCGTCTTGAAATAGGCCCTTTGCAGGAAATAATCACCACTGTTACTGGATGGCAAAAAMATTTGGACCTATTTTATCTATAATTATACAKCTTCTCATTAATCCCATATAGGTAACTGTCCAATTATTTTCTTAATTGGACASGTCTTGTTGATATGGGATTAATTAGACAGCTATATAATTAATAGGTAATGGGATTTTATGCTCCCCAATCAAGAAATAATTAGACTYGAAAAATTCCTCTGACTGCCAARTTGGACTCGGCCTACGGCCTCATCCAATTTTGAAAGTCCTCRGAATTTTYCTCGTCCAATTATTTCTTAATTGGACAGCATGGAGTCCTATTRCATATACAAACACTTTTGCTGGATTAATAATGTCATATCCRAAACCTTTTCCAAAACATTTTTTCCCCTTGTAAGATACTTTTGATTTCAACATATGAAGCAATTTGCTTGTTTGCCATCCAGCAGAGCCTTCCCCAAGAGACCTTTTGGCTGAAGTGATTTGTTATCAAAGSGRTATATCAGCATGTGACTGTTAGAAGCAAAGAGCCTTTTCCTTCCTAACACAGTAGTATTTCTACATTCAAGCTCAATGAAAGGAAAGAGGGAGGGTCCAGGAAACAATTGAACTGTGYGAGAAGCTGAGAGTGGTGAACTCCGCACGCAAAGCATGACTAGACAAAATGACGGGCCATAAGCATTTTTGAAGCCTGAAAGAGTTAAGGAAACATGGTGGTAAAGAGAAATTGTTTATATTCTTCCTTTCCCCATTTCGGCTTCTTGTAGGCACATATATTATATTTTACTCAAAAGAACACAGAACATTTTTTTTGCAAAACTGTTGGGTCACAGTAGCCTGGGAATGAGGGCTAGCAGCAAAACAGCTAAACKCGCTGTGATTGGTTGAAACGAAATTCCCCACTTCACTTTAGATGTGATACTAAACAACGGGGGACCCCTTCTCGTGTTAYGATTACCCAGCCAATCAGAATCAAGTGTTGTCGGTTTCCAACCAGCGACGAAACAAGAAATAAATTTCTTSATGACAACATATCATTTATAATTATAGTTATTTATAATTATTATTTCAGTGTTATTTCAATTGTTTCTGGGATGAAGAACAACGATAAGAAAATCCATCTGCATGTATTGTGTACATTGGARAAGTACAAAAATAAGATTATCAGAATATTCAATTTCGCTGGAAACATATATATATTCTTCAGATCTTGGATATATAATACTAATAATCGTAGGAAATCGTTATATAGGTCATGCTAGCAATCATAAATTATAAAAATTTGAAATCCTAGTCAAAATTAATTAGCAATGATTGACGGAAAATATGTGATCGTATACCTCTCCTTGGCTAAGTACACCATTCATATTTATCTTCGTCCAAAACCTAACTTTTGGAGGTTCTGCTGGATAGTTCTTTCCACATTCAATCTTTAAAGTATAAATTCGAYTTTCGAAAACACACTGAAAGAGAAAAGGAAGCAAATGTTGAAGAGTTTTTTTAGGGTCTCCATTGTACAGAGAGAAAAAGAAAATTTAGGACAGAGAATAAAGGTTTTTAGATAGATCGAATCTTACCCTCTGAGGTCCAATGATCGTACCATTCCATCTAGTCATGGTCATATCTTCATCATCGTCCAAACCCCAGCTTATTAAGCCACCACCACCACCTTTCTGACCCTTTTCTAATTCTTCCAGAAGACGAAAATTCCTTGGAACTAARAAAGAAAAAACGATAGCAGTGAGACCTGTTCGGGAAAAAAAGACCTTCAGCGTGTGAATTGAGACTCTGCTTTTGTGGTATGTTTGTGATTTGAGGGTYTTTGGTGCGTAGTTAAGGAGGAAATGAGGTGGGGGAAATGTTAGTTGTACCTTCAACTCGCCCCGCCATCTTGATTAACAGACTCGCTGAGAGGACRACCTCGATTTAGACTCATAACCTGGGACTCGGGTAATACTCGGTTGACTTTCGGTAAAATCGGAATGAACTTCAGTCGGGAGTCAGTCGGGAAGCGATGAAAATATGGATAAATGGAAAAAAAAAAATTGTGATAAGAAAAAAAAAAAAAGGGGGAAAAAATCCAACAAAGAAAGGTCGATAGACAGCCAAGAGGGAAGATAAAATAAGAAATACGGGGAAGCAATGTTTCAAAAGTGTGTTGCGAGCAAGGATAAAGAATTTAAGAAAAGAGGAAAAATCGAATAAAGAATTTTTTCAAATGAATGAAAAATGAGAAACAACGATATATTTTGATGAAAGACTCYGGGCAAAGGGTTATTTTAGTGATGTAGATATATTTTATTACGAAAAAAGTTTTACAAAAGTACATTTTAAAACAGTAGAAAATAAGCCGCCTTCTTCCCTTTCTCGAAAATGGGACTGTAGTTAGATGCTAAAATATTTTCATYTTCGTATTTTATTTCATATTCCAGTTTAATGTATTATATCAAAGGTCGAAAAAACTAGGGGGGAATTTGACAATTAGACTTTCCATGTTGGAGTTTTTAATTAATAATTTAACAACTTCCGCTTTGAAAATATAACAAATAAAGTCACCACAAAAGAGCCTCGTTTGTCAGTTCGTTCRTCGGTTCGTTCTAGTTTTGTTTTATATATCATAAATAAAGCGCTAGCTTTTCTACAGGTTTCCAAGACAAGTAATTAGAAAGTACTTCTCACTTATMCACGATTAGCACCTTTATTTACATGGTTCTTTTGTCTTTATTGTTTTTTTAAACCAATCACGATTCTCATGCATGATTTATTTTGTTGATAAAGTCAAACCCCGCTTCCATGGTAATAATTACTAGACCCAAAGGACCTCAAAATGGCTGTCTGTCCTGGTCAAATAACTACGGATTAACTACAAAAAGACAGCTGAACCAATTCAAAACTCACTCTCAAAGAAAATCCGATATCTTACGAAGACGGTAAACAAGTTATAATGAGCTATCTTGCTCTATAGATTTTTTGGAAGCAATTTGTAGAAAGTTAAAAATGGCTGACCATAATGGCGACGTTAGTGCTCCTCAAGCAAGAGGTGGAAGACATCATCGTACAAGAAAACAACAGAAACCTTCTACTGCAGAAAGAGAGCAGAAAAAAGCKTCAAGACTCCAAGCTTTAGGCCCAGGCGAGTCGATCAAAGAAAAGCAGGTTGGTAATAAACGGTACTTCAAGTAATTGTTAGCTAAAATATACAGTCAAAGAGAATTTTTTATTTACTTTAGGATATAAGTTTTATGTGATCAGTGTATAATGGTGAATATGGAATGTTAAAACGTTAAAACATCAGCGATCGCGCGCTAAAACCGCAAGTCTGTTTGATACTTTTACTTTTTTGACTTCAAGTGTTAACAAGTTTTGCCCTCCTTTCACAAACATCATTACATATATCATTCTTATTATCCTTACATCGCTTTTGTTTTGAAAAACGAGTTTCCGTTAACCTGAAAAGACGTCTTGCTGGTCTAATCTTTYTATTATTCTGTAATAAATATAAGCTCGAAATTGGAATTTTTGAGAATTTTTCTCTCTGTTTTCATCAATATCTAAGGTTTTAGGTAAAAATATTCACGGTGTACGCAAAATCGTTTGCAAAACCCAACGTCTTTATATTTATGTATATATGATAAAATAAATATCCCAAATTGTAGAAATTGTAATTTTATAATTAACGAAACAGAGAAAAGATTTGTATTATTAAATTTTTCGTAGAAACAAATTGAACTAGTAAAAATGGTGCCTTGTTTATCTTTATGGAAGGAAGTGGAAAGATTTGATATTTTGATGTGATGGTGAATATGGTCTCATATTTATACTCTAAAAAGCGTTTATTTCAGCTAAAAACGCCATGTCTTTATTGCAATAAATTAGGCCATGTTTTTTCTTGTTTCTGCGATGCCGACAACTCTGCAGCTTCTTCCCATGAGTTTTTGATGGGCATTTTCCAAAAACCCAAACGTATCTAAGGTAATCATATAGTTGTKGAGTTCGTAGAAGCGTGAAAAGAACTACAATAACTACTATTTTCATACAAACTCTGTAGTTTTGATTTGATTGTTTCGATTTGGTTTTTCACTGTCGCGAGTCGTAAATATCAAAGGTACCATACCAACTGATTATTTCGATTGACCTCAGCGAAAAACCAGATTTTCAGCATGCATCTACTAAGTTGGCATGTTTTGAAAAATTATAACAGTAACAATGTTTTTGTAATTTTTTTATAGCAAAAAGCAAGAGAGGAACGAGAGGCGAAGAGGGCAGGAATAGACTTTAGACATGAGTACATYATAAAGACTGTGGCAGAAGCTCTTGGGCTGTCCCCAGAAGATGTCACAGAATTCTTACTGGAAGGAACACAGGTAAAAAAAAAAGAAATGTTTGCATTTTGAAAAAGCTTTTTTTTTCCTGGCCCACTGCGAATATAAAACAAGGTCAAAAAAATGATGCCCACCCTCCCCTCCATGAAGGAAACGAAATATGACCCACCCCTAATGTACAGTTATAGACTCGTGTGACCCACCGCCTGTTTTTCCCTTTCCATGATGATGTTAATGATGATGTATAATAATGTTGATGGTAATATCGATAATGAGGGTGATCCTTGTATATATATATATATATATGGATGAAGTACAATAATATGGATCATTAATTATGATTAAGTTATTGACCAATCATAACATTGTCTTTCCCAATACAGATTGAAACACTAGATGAGTTCTTCAAGGCCGATGGTCTTCAAAAGATCATGTTCTTCTATCAAGAAACAGACAGTAATTTACCAGATGCCGGTAAGCAAACAATCAATCATTATACAGGGGGGGGGGTGGTGCAAGTAGAGAGGAGACATTAATGAAATGAGTAAACTAGATTAAATCCAAGAAGTACTTATATGATGATAATGATGCTGATGGTGATGATGGTGATGGTGATGCTGATGGTGATGATGCTGATGGTGATGATGCTGATGCTGATGATGATGGTGATGATGATGATGATGCTGGTGATGATGATGGTGATGATGCTCTATTGGTCATTTCAATCTCCCTCTCACTCTTGCACTCAAATA